GATTATATGCAGTCATATGCATAGCAGTGGCCGAGTTTTCCTCTAGATTTTTCATTTTATTAGCACCTACCAATCTTAATTTAGCTAAGATTTTATGCTCCAACAGCTTATTTGGACCTGGTCGACTACACTGACCAGTGATCACATACAGTCTCAAATAGGATGGGATACAGCGATAGTATTCAAAACTAACTAAAGTTTGATTTAGAAGGAGATTGATAACTAAATCTCTCTTTATCGATTCAACACCGAATATATACAACATAACTGATATATATGAAATTCCTGTACTCATTACAAAGAAGGAGAGAGGATTACAACTGAATAAACCATGTCTCAAAGTTGTAGAGTTACCTGTTGATATGACTATGGACTATAAATTGTGTCCGAAACGTTATCCAGTAAACAATACTGTTTCACTGTGATATATCTAGTAAACAAAGTGGAAACCCTTGGTGTTAGAGAGGGAGAATTTTCTTTCATTTTCAAATGTCAAAACATTGGACGACTAATCGTGTATATTCTTTTACTAGACATCACAGTCTAATGAAATACCTTTTGATGCGCAACATTGCATTGTTGAAGATATCAAGTGTAACAGAGACGGCTATAAATACCAGTTAATCATTTATACGTCAATTATTCCCCAGGCAGCCTGCTTGAACTTTCGGCCACCCATGAAATTTTCCATCAGAGATATCACATCATAGTTTGTTTTAATCTCTTAAGTATATGCTCTAAATGTTTAACTTACTTTTAGGGATTTTTCAAATTTTCTGAACTAGTTGTTTTTCGAAGTAATAACGAAACGAAGGAAAGATGTCATATTAAACAGAAATGAACTTTTGAATGCACAAAAATATACCACATTTCTATTCTTCGGATATCTGTCTCCAGTGGTACATTATTCTACTGGATGAATGAACCATCATCACTAAACACCAGACGCTAATCCAGTACAAACCGTCTGTACCACATTATTACCTTTGATGCTGTTATTATGAACATCAATCAAACGCCATAATCATTTTGTTTGAAAATATTGTTTTGGGAGTAAATATGTTAACTTATTACATGCTGAGAATTCCATACTAAATCAAACATATTGTTTGCGATAAAGCTATTATTATTACTGTCAGTATCATCATTTTTAGGTTTATATGATGTACGTTCACACTGAAACTGCATTTATGCTGAGATTATTGTTACCACTTGAAGTTCACACTTAACAACAAACGAGCGTCTCTAGGTAAAACTTCTAAAAGTTGATTGACAAAAACATAACAGACACATACACACCAATAGGGAAGTGTTTATAAAGTTCAGTTCGCGAATTCAACCCAAAAGTTGTCATAAATAATGTAGTGAGGACACCATCTGCAAGATAATATAACTTCATAAGATGATTGCGTAGGGTTTTCCTCAGCTGCATGCAACATGAATGATTAGCTACACAATCGCTATAACAAATATTAACATATCTTATATAGTGTTTTTAGGATACTGGTTAGTGTTTTAAAGATCACAGGAACAATAATTCAGGATCGAAAGGAAGTTGAGGTAATAAGTTCAAACAAAACACATAAGGGTTATGTAAGGCAAGGTGAGGAATGTTCACAAGTGAATGAGATAAGAGGTGAGTAAAGGAGTTACGCAATCACATGAAAATATTGTTAGTAAAATCGTGAGTGGGTGAGATAAAACTATCATGATAATAACACATACGGCAGTGATGAAGTGTAAATGAAAACCAATAGGGATAAGAATAAACAGAAAACAAATGTATTGGAAATATTTTGGGAAAGATGAGAGGGTGGGAAGTCACTAATTACCAGGACAACAATAAATTGGCAGCTATCTCCTTTTGAACACATAGTTCCCATTGAACTCATCGGATAGTAATGGCTTCGGGAATTCAAATTAGGGAGGAAGTCTTCCGTCTTTTGAATACTGTGAAGGATTTCAACGCATCTACTTGGTATCCCGCACCACATAAGGGATGAGCTATCGCACTGATGAACGGGAATGGATCTCTGTGACGTAGACTCTTTTGCAAGTGCTCGGCAATCCTGTCTGTTTTTTCTGCGTACTTGCTGCTGCATATACATGTGAATTGATATATGCGGCTGGAGTTAACAAGAGTTGGAACTTTATCTAATTTGGATTGTGTCATTACACATATTGTCTGACACAGTGAGACAAGTTTCGAAGCCGATTAGATCCTGAACAGTGCACTCCGAATTTATGCATTGATTCTTGTAGCAATATCATCTCCTTTGAAAGCCAATGTATTTTTTCAACAATAATACATCCCGCTCTCTTCTCTTTGCTTTTGAAGTACTTCCGCATAAAATTTATTGGATAAGCATTACTGTGTAAACATTCTTCGATTAGTTGAAATTCTCCTCGTAATTTTTATTGGGAACATAATCTCCCTCCTCTTTGGAATGATGTCCTCTCTTTAGCTGATTGGGTAGAAGCTGTTGAAGTTTAACTAATGACCGCTCCATATATTTTTTGCGGTGAATGCTCTTCTCTATTGTACCGTCTTCATTACGTCTGAAGCATAAGTCGAGAAAATTCGGCTACTGCTGCTTCTCTTCATATTCCATCGTAAACTTAATACTACGCTGTTCATTGTTGAGGCAGCTTCCTTGTTTGTAGAACGTTTTACAGATGATGAAGGCATCACCAAGGTATTCTAAACAAAGCATTGTTCAATCGACTGTAGGTTTAAGGGTGGTATTTTATGCGGTTGGAGAAAATCATATAAATTAAATGAGGTAATCTTATCCTGCCAATGGTGTTTTCGATGCATTGTTCAAGTCCATAAAGGGGACTAAATGCATGAAAGTTGCCATTGACTTATGTTAAGGAAAGGTAATCACGTATAATCCCAGGAGTTTGTTTAAGTTAACTTCTCTACTTACAAACCGTTCTATCAAACACTTGACAGTCTTCAAAAGAACTTGACTCATGGTGATCGGTTTGCTGTCAAATGAGCTAGAAATGACAGCATATTGAATTAAATCATAACACCAAACAAAACTGAAATATCTTTCATAAGCAAACGTCTATCTTTTGAAAGTCAAGTACTATTTGTGCTTCTGAAGGAAATAATCTGCTGAGTATTGTATTGAAATGACTTAAAAGAATTAGGGTAGCTGGTGCACAGTGTACTGGTCATATATATTGGAGTGATTAGAAAGTTGAAAATGAAAAGCTTCTAAAAGTGCTTTGGTGATATTATGAGAATAATATACTGGAATATATCATCTTCAGTAATAAAAAGCCATATGACAGAAATAAAAGGAGATAAAACAAATAAAGATGATTTCCAAGACCTAGAAGATGATAAGATCTCGACGTATCAGTATCAAATGCAGACGAAGTTTCAACCATGAGTGATCGTTAACCATCAAACTCCAAAGCAGGAAGCCTACACTGTAAAACACAGCCCAGATAAACAATCAGAAGCTCTGTAGACTGCTGCCACATCCACATCTGAAATCTCTTATCATCACCCTTGAAGTAGATGGGATCTTTAATCGATTGACCTTCGAGTTTCAAGGTCCCAGCATGTATGAGGAAGATCAAAAGTACAGAAACAATGTAGTTGAATAAAATAATTCGATCAATACATTTATGTTCACTTCACTGACACTTCTGAACGGTAAGCTGCATAAGAAGTGCCTAATTAGGATGAGCCCCATAGATACAACTGTATAGAAGGAGGATAAAATGACTATCGTCGCATGTATCTATCTTGTCATATGAAAACTTAGGCCCTAAACTCGTTGGCAAAAGTATATTGGTTGCCTTTTCAGCTTCATATCACCCTTGGTTGATTGCTTGTTATCTTAAGGTTAGATTACAATTATTTCACCTTGAACATATTTTTGCGCATTAGTGACCGGTTTCTTTAATAAATGATTTTGGTTCTGAACTATTGACTACTGAACAATACATTCATAGTCAGTGAGTTAACAGTTCTCTCTTTTGGTGTTCATCAGCTTTGATGTAATCACCATTCGACCAACGTGAGTCAGTCACATAGAGTCAAGCCATTAGCTAAAGTATCCAGCTCAACTAGTATTCGGTCATCTAGAGACCCATTAATCCACATTTATGATCACTCATGGTAGTTGTAAAACCTAGTAACAAAATAGGAATATAGCCACCAACTACTGCTCACTCATAGGATACTTAAATAGAATGATCGGTTATGTGTAACGCATACAATGTCTTAGATATAACAGCTTTTAGATAACCCGATACTAAACATGGCATTAGATCACTTACAAAAGACAGATAGGCAAAAATGTCAAACCTTAAATTACAATGCAGCAAACCTAGTAGTCATATTGTGCAACAGCACAGAAAGCGTAAGTAGAGTTCTATTAAATAAAACCAAGACAATAAACAAATGAAGACCAATAAGATACTTGAAGTATTCAGGATGACAGAGAGAGACGATATCCGCGCGCTGGAGATCGTTTACTTATTCCTGTCAATAACATACTACTACGAAACAAAACCTTGCAAAGCTAAAGAAACGTTACGTAATTTGCTGATGATTCCTTTCAACATCAATTTATTGGCGAATACTTCTACTTTGATTATAAATAGTAATTTTGTGCAACCGTGATTCTACTAGTTTTTAAGAAGTAGTGAAATGAACTTTTAAAATGCACTCATCAACTTTGTGCACATTTCTGCAGTAGACATTGAGCCACACCTATTGTGTGAGGGCTAATGGTGATACTACCTGACTGCCCAAACCTCGGTAGGTGAAGCGGGGTTCGAATCCGTGACCTACTGGCAGAAAGTCATCTCCCTAAACCAATAAGCTACAGCTCCACTTAAGAAGTGGTCAATACATGCTTCTCCACTTTCTTCTCCCTTGAGGACCTAAGTACCTAACAACCGGTTACGAATGATCGATCTCTCGTTCTTCTTACGAAAGTCCATCTGCAAAATACCCAAAAACCATCCAATGACTGAGTGTACGGCAACTTTTTCGTGTAAAACTCCCATACAAGCAAATAACAGAACTACAATTATATATCGACCAGAATTAGGAACTGGGCTTCTCCTAGACATAATAAAACCCAGTTAACTGGAGCAAAGAAACAAAAAAGAATAATAACAATAATGAGTGGTAGTAATAGCAGAAACAGTTTGGCTTATTCCACTCATGCACGGTATATATATATATATATATATATATATATATATATATATATATATATATATATATATATATACAAAAGGGAAGATCTAATTTTACACTGAACACTCGTGTTTGTGGACATATACAGATTGTCGAAAGTGAGAAATACCAAAGCCGAAAGTTTTGAAAAAAGAAAAATAAGCCAAAAGGTCATGGCTTCAACACACAAAGAAAGAACTCAAATAATTGTAGTATCGAAAAAATGACAGGTAGATACATTTAGGAGAAAATACTCGGAATAAGAGAGCTGTATAACAGTTGGTCAGATTGAAGTTAAAAATAAAAAAATCTCCCTGATTCCCTTCTGTGAAGACAAAGAAGAAGCAAAGTAAAATGCAGTGAAGTACTACATACATACACGTTCATATTACAACTGTATGGTGTTACATATGGTTATAACACCAATCCAGTCAACTAGTTGGGAAAAGTGAAAAATAGTAGGCATTTTGATTCAGCTTCTCAGGACTGTTAGAACAAGATAAATCATGCACTCATTCAGTACGTCCTCCACTTGATCTCGGTGGTTTGTGGTTTGTCTAATTGATGAAGACATCGAAGTGTTGTCATCACATCCAAACTGATCGACAATGTTGCATTCCCCAATCGCCGACCAGCAACCCACAAAGATGTAATTAAGAAGCACAGGTTATAAATTAATACAACCACACCCAATCCGTAACTAGGTGATACTGATGAGTAGCCAAAAGCACGAGATATGAACTGGCGAAAAATTGACTGCTCCTCAGATTCAATCCGCCGAACTACGGACAACTTTTCTAGACTGTCAGATGCCGAACTAAATGGATTTATTACACGGGTAAAAGATAACCAGTAGGTTAGATCAAAATAAGAACCGGTAATTAGTTTGTTCCACCAGCTGTCGGACGCTTTGATCGATTTTGTATTTGGACAGAGAGTATTCCCCTCACAACCAAACTGATGATTCAATGAATCACAGGCTAAATCTGAGCATTCTGAATGTGTGAGTGATGCCACTGCTTCTGACTTAAGTGGGCTAGGTAGAGTGAGTGTAGTCAATCCTAGCAGATTTGTTTGTAATGGAAGTGCAGTGCTCAATATTAGAAACAACAAAATATTTGCCAACATAATGTCTAGGCTAGTTGCATGATATCTTGGTCGAAGAGAACGTGCACATGGAAGTGAGTAGAATCCCCACAAGCTCAGCACAAGGAGAGATAACACCAAACAAACCTAGAACAGAAAATATAATCAGTTATAAAGTTATAAAACATATGGGGGTTTAGATCAAGATATTTCTGTAAACTTTGAAAATTGGAAATGAAAAAGTCTTGAGTGTCATTGAAAAGTTATAGGAAGATACCAATTTCATCAGCCTTTTAATCAAGTGGGCAATAAAAATCCCTATTTACTTAACCGAGTTTCATTTATCGATTCAACAATTCCTGTGGAGTTGTTATTCATCGGAGACTGACATCAGTTGGAGGAACAAAGGAAACCTGGGAGCACTGGACAGCCGTTTCGTCCTAGTATGGGACTCCTCAGCAGTGCGCACCCACGACCCCACCAGCAGGGATCGAACCCGCGACCTTCAGGTTCCGCGGCCAGCGCGTTACCATTGAGCCACTGGGTCAGAATCCAATGCTCCATATTTCCAACTTCTGTTAGCTCACGATATAGCGCAAACCGCCACCCAATGTCATCGGCTGTCCAGTGCTCCTAGGTTTCCTTTGTTCCTCCAACTGATGTCAGTCTCCGATGAATAATAACTTGAAATATTTCCAAATCTCCACAACTCCCTCAAAAATTTAATTCCTGTGGAGCCAACTACGTCTGCAGGCTGCCTAGGAAGTTAGATTTTTTTGCCCATGATGACTAAACAAAGCTGTAGTGAAAAACATAAATAGTCCAGTATCAGTACATTAAGTCAGAAAAGCCATAAAACTGATATTAATCAATCGTTTTTTAAACATTTGTCGAGTCTCTATTTATCTTTATTTAGGCACCAAGTATTTCAAACAGTAGAAGGTATAAGCCATTCCACTTCAAGTCTGAATAACGTGCACAAAAGAAATGGGTATAGTCATTAGTACTACTACCTTGGTTGGATTTGAAACCAACAAATTCTCAAGCACTCTCTATTTTAATAACCATTTTAATCGTAAACTAACAAACCACTTGTACACACGCCCTTGCACTTTAAAATTTCATCAGATTCTTTCACTCTTGTCCAAATACATTCGTACAACTTAACCTATTGACTCAACTGGACTATTGTTATTTATTACATTCTGCACTCATACACAAGCACTTCACAAAATTTTCACCCAACTGTCCAGGTTACCTCAGTCGACTGAAGTAGTCTAAACATGTATTGAGCATGTCGAGCCACTGTCTACCTTGATGTGCAATGCTAGGGGAAGTTAGAGTAGGTTGGAAGGGGGTTCAGGGTGACCAGGCCAGGCGAGATACCAATCGACAAAGTCTTGCTGTTGGCCTAAGCCGTGTAGGGAGATGTAGACTGCTTGGTTGTGTCCTCGAAGTGAAAGAAATCGGTCACAACGTTGCTGATGTATTCACTCCTTGACATCTTATAAAGCTTGCTGATTCACACCATTTTGTCTACTTTTATATCACGTTTTTTCTATCCACTTCTGTTTTGTGCACTACTGTGAAGTGTGGCAACTTGATGTGATGCACCTTTGTCCGAGGTTCTATGTTGATTTTGTCAGTCAGTGGTCTGTTTCTTCTGTCTAGACTTCTTTGTCTGAAGTTTCCTTATCAAAGTGAATAGAACTGATTTTAGCTAAAATCCCAATTAGCATTATGCAACCTACTGTAATTCATCATAATCATTTAATTTGAATAAAAACTCTCTGAGATAATCAACATAGAGACTCTAGTGTTGTATAAGATGCACTAGATAATTATTTTCAACTGAATTCCAGTAATATTTGATTCTGGCATTATCTCTTTGGAAACGAATTCCAGGACCATTTGATATTACCGATCATTTTTTAAAAATCTCACTGCTGTCAACATGCATTTAATTTCTGGTGAAAGAAAATGAAGACACAACTGAACATTGATTAGTCACCGAGCAGTAAACGAACGTGAAGTTGTTTAGTCCTAACTGCCGGTGGGACTCTGTACTTCATTTCGCGATGGGGCCTTCATGCTCAGAGGTTCACCATTATGCTGCGCTTTGACTGATCCTAGTTGGGTGGAAGTGCTCTCGACTAAAAAAGCTGTTATGAGGCTTTCGACTGCAACAGCGGGTAACGCAGATACCAACCTGTCACGTGCCTTCAATTTCCCTGAGGTTGTGGATACGCCTTGCCGACGAGTGCCAACAGGTACGAAAACCACATGCATTACTTATAGTTTACTAAATGTTACTGTAGGACCTATCACTATTTTAGTTCACTAATCTGTCAAAACTGGAACTCAACAATTACGGACACTATGGAATTGATAGGTTATGAGTCACACTAATGACGATACCATCTAGCTACTAGAACCTCCGAAGTTGCAATTGATTTTCTACTCATAAATCAATGGTTGACGGTAGGTTGCCTAATGAGCCACAGTTCCGCATACATTGTTGAAGAAGTTTCAGACGAATCACAAAGGAATATGGTCAATTAATAAATCCACCTACAATGATACGATCTACGTAGAAAAAAAATCAAGCATTAAAGATTATTCTAATGAACCAAAATGGTAATTGTTTCGCATACTACATACTGAAGTTCCATCTGTGTGGAACTTGTGTTTTTTACAATTCTTGCAGGATACATTCTTTAAAGTACATAGAAATACTCTATCGCTACTCATTGCACCCAAGGTAGTGAGGCCTTTAACCCAACAGGAAAATAATGAGATATTTCGTCAAACGATGATTACTTCAAAGTGTTAGATGTCGAAAGACACATCGCAGTCGGTTACAAATCGCTAAGCTCGGGGAATGTATAATGTAAACAGAACACTGTTTGACTTCACTTTTGAAGTAATCAAAAATCGGTCATAAATATATTTGTAATGAATATTTACGCACAATGATTCTCTCTATATTGCAAAAAATCTCATGGATATAATTGTCAAAAATCTGTCGATTGTGAACTACGAATCGATCGCCTGCTATGAACTAATCAACAATACTAGCCGATCAATGTGTGTATGGAGTACGCAGTAAGTAGCTTTGTATCGTGATACAGAGCATTTGTTGTTTATTTTTTGGAGAAAACCAACAACGTACTCGATACCTTGAGTTTTTATGCTTAGTGGCACTAATTAAAGTGGCAGCGCAACTTACCAACACCCAATGCGAGGGTTGATGACACCAACTGATTGCCCAAACCATGGTAAGTGGAACGGAATTCAAACCTATGATGCATAGCTTGAAAGCTAAGTAATCGCATTGGTGGGAAAAACATTACCCAATGCGGTGGAGGTACATCGAGCTGATGAGTCCCAAATAGAACGAAAAGCGCATCCTGGAGCTTGCTGTTAACCACTATATAGACCAAAAAATAGCGATTTACTACTTCATTTTTCTTTATCCTAAATTAACATGATCTTATCTACAAATATATATTTTTATAACTACAAAAGAATGAATAAAATTCATACTAGTTTTCTTGTTACCTGAAAAACAGCTCCAATATACCCAAGGGAAGAAACAGGTTTTAAACCAAGTGTAAAACTAAAATCAGGAGATTTAACTGTAGTTGATGAGTATTGTTTATCATTCACCATCATTGAATAGGTAACACTATTGTCAACTTGCCTTCCATAATTTCCAAACAGCATATTCCATAAAAGACCCAGAATGTTTAAGAATACAAATGATTCCAACAAGCGTAGTAGAACAAACAACAGGACTAAGCAACTACAATACATGACAAGTTGCAAAGATTCACGAAAAAATGGTGAAAATCTTCGTCTAGTTATGCGCTGTTTAATTTGTAACATTTCTGCATTTATTGCATTCAATTGATTTGTACACTTGAGTAATAAGTCTTCATCCGATGTAACACTGGTATAACTTCGAAAACATATAGACTTATAACTAATAATATTGTAATTATCACCAATCACATTCTTTTTAGTACACAAGAGTTGTATGCACTCTATGTCGTCTGAAACAGTCATTGCTTCCATTTTCAATTGTACAATACGATCATACAGTGTTTGTTTTGTGGTCAAATCAGGTAAAGAGCGTAAACTGATTGTAATCAAATTCAAACCAATAGACAATAATCCCATTGGCGTGCAGATGAATAATAATAAAAGTCCTAATAGAGAAGCGGTCATCTGAATTAGTTCCAAACCTGACATCATTATCACCTGGATGCAAACACTTTGTAAAAATTTAATCCAACCAATAGAATTGATAGAGTTTTGAAGAAATGTGATTGGATGGTTTCGATAATAATTGTGATGGTGTTGAACAGGAGTAGGCGAAGGCTGCAGTTGGTGATGACCTTGAGGGAATGCGAAAAATGTTTTACTATCACTAGTAGTGCTAGTATTACTACAACTAAGAGATAATGCACTGTTATCTGATAAGAAGTAATAATTCAAGGCAGAAACAAAACTACTCAAAGACCATATTGTACCAAAGCATAGAATGTAAAAGAAGAGAACCATAACTAAAGAGTCAGCTAAACGTGATGCAAACGATGAATACGATTTACGCAGAAATCCTTGTGAAGTTAAAAGAAAGTAAGAGAATGGTAAAGTTAAACAAGATATCTTACTGCCTATATCAATAAGCAGTATTAAATCTTGTATTAACTCACTATTTAACCATTGTACATAATAAGAATGTGGAAAGATAACTAGAATTTCATTGGTTATAATGGTGAATGGCAATAGGCTATAGGAAGTTAAGCCTATTGTTAGCGTAAATGTGCATATGCCAAGGACTAGTTGATGCGCTAGGCGTTCAGCTCGAGACAGTTTCGATTCATATTCTGTTCTGGTCAGAAAATATTGTAATGCGATATGTGCGATGAGAAAAAAGATAGTGAATAGTAGAAAGATGACAACTAGCCCACGAATTTCATCATAGAATTCCTTTGCTTCATGACTGATTAGTACTAATTCATCAGTCTGATCCATGTAATCATCAATATCTGGAAGCAAGAGAAGAACGAAAAACAAAAGTTAGACATAAGGAAACATGTGGCAAGCAAGTACATGTTATAATACGTTCCTTATGTAATTTTACATCTACTTGTAGTGGTTTTTTCAATAAAATAAAAAACATAACTCACATTAACTTGAATTTATTCCGTTGTTAGTTGGTGAAATCTAACGCATTTGGAAAACCATCCTTAAAATAAATTGATATTAGTTGGGAAAAACAGCGTAAAGCTGGAAAAGACGGGAAGTTGTTTTGTTCGAAGATCCTTCGGAGAACAGTAGATACACAATATCTCTTATTAAGGTACTGAGACATTCAAGATCTAGGGCGAAGACTATTTTTGAAACATGAAGAACGACTGAAATAGTTGGTATTTCCCAATTCCACAAACCATATCACTGGGACTCATCCTTCTTACACTCATAAGTCATCGGTGTATGACGAAAGAAACACTACGTAGAATACTTAACAAGGCTGGGGGATTAGAGCGGCATTTAAACCTACAACCTCACTTCGAAATAAGCTTTGTAGGTTAAAAGATTCTATTGATCCAATTACGCAGAATAAACTAATACTATTTATTGATATACTTGTAATTCTCCATTGTTTTATTGGATAGAATTGTTTGACCTCTGTTGGCACATGGTCTATGAGGATCACTCAATATTGCCTGAATGTTACTTGAGGGAATTTTTTTGGTTGTGGCTAGCAGAAGAATCCTGGGAGCGCGTTTCGTCCTATTTGGAACTCGTCAGCCGGATGTACCTGAACTTCAGTGAGTGAGGTTGTTCGCTCCGAGACTCAAACCTCGTACCCATCGACTCAAACGCCAAGCCGTTATCCACTATACCACGGAGGCACGATACGCGCTTCTTGTATAACGGGTGTTAGTTATTACTACTTATTGATATACTTGCAATTCTCCGTTGTTTTATTGCATAGAATTGTTTGACCTCTATTAGTTTACCAAATCCCTTGCAACGATTGTGAGGTCAAATACATAGGTCAAAGTAGTCGACCAGGGTCAATTAGGTTATCCGAGCACAAAAACTTAGCTAGGTAAGGAATTTATAAAAAAAAAAAGCTCAGCAATAGCTACGCATTTGATTACACACAGCCACACAATAGGATGGGGACAGGGTGAAAATCCTTAAAACTAATATGGCAGGATGGAGGGAGAGATTGATAACTGAATCTTTGTTTATAGAATCAACAACTAATAAAGCAGCAGGAATGACTCAGCACGTGTTCCCGATACATGAAAAATCTTACTACCGATGTCACAAAGGGGAGAAGAAATTAGGACTATATAAAGGATATCTCGAAGTTGTGTAGTCATCTTGGTGTGACTATGGACAATAAATATGTCCGAAAAGTAACCCAGTAAACAATACTGTTACACTGCGTAATAAATCAATGAAAATGAAATTACATTCTACCACAGTGCTCAAGTTTTACTCTTATATTTACGATGAAGGATATCTGAAGTTTTTATGAGTACTCTCAACTTTCGTGATGATGGTAAACTTTCCTAGAACTGAAGAATTGAGTCACCATTATAAGTTAGATGAAGTTGAATTAACCATCCTTCAAAATCAGGTAGTTCAACACGAAATCTGGGGGCTGATCTTCACGATAAGAGATGTTAATACATGAACTAGGGGATTGGTAATATTTTGTAAGGCTATTTTTTGCTGTAAACTCTAACAGGACTGGTCAACATCATAGTTGCGTGCATTTGCACTCATAACCACGTAAAGTAAGCCAAGTGGTAATATTTTGGAAGAAAAATCGAAATGTACTGAAGTAAGCACTTGCACGCTCTTCCAGTGGACAGTGAGCTACATTCATTGTGTTAGGACTAATGACATTGTCTGGCTGTCAAGATCTTGGTAGGTGGTGCTGGTTTCGAAACTGTTACACAATGGTGTTAAGCAAACTTGTGGATTCTGGAAGGGTTAATATCATGTGCTTCCATGAAGCTCAAATGTAGCAAGAAAGAGTTGTTCACTGGTTGCTAATTTCCAGAAGCTTCACGACTTATGATGAAACTTACTCCTAAATTTCATTTTACCTTGCGTTTTAAAAATATTCTTCACAAGTAAAATTTCAGTGAATTCAATAAAACCATGAGATCTATTTCAGTACACAGTGAAGACTGTTCGGGAACTATGGTTGACAAACACCGGATAGACAAAAATGGAAATATCACACACATAATGCAGCAATTCAAGTCACATCTTGATTTCAATAACGGAATGAGCAATATTAAGAATCAGGGAAACGTGATATATGAAAATCTGGTAGACAAATATTTCCACTTTATAAAGTTAATATAATTGTAACAGGAATTAGAACCTCTGTTCAGTGTTTTTCTCTACATTTGAAGCGATAGACAAGTTTTGATGAACTAGTGACTGTAGCTTATAACAGTCGACATCAAATAACATAAAGTTTCATATAAGAATATCACTAGTATTTGGACTACCCTTCAGCAGAAAGTAACAACCAACTGTCATTCGACAAAGCTTTTAGTAAAATTTAACTAATGATAACTGCAATGTAAACAATTTACAAATATTTCTTTTGAAACACAATACTACTGTTTCAAAGGGATGTAGTTATCTCACATATAGTAGGTTATGCGCTACATATTCTAAGCATTAGTTGTTGTTGTAAGACGTTTCGTTTCGTTGGAAAGGGTGGCACCATTGGATCTAACTCACTACAAGCACTGTAGTAGTCCTGAAAATTGATAATAAAATTTTTTTTACGGTGAGAAACAAAGGCACTGGATAGCATGAGAAATAATGCTTTTCCTCCAATAAACATGTAGAACAAGTAGTAATTATAACTATGATAATGCCAATAATCAGCAAATAAATAAGTCTGAACATAAGAAAGAGAATGTGAGTGATCATGTGAAATATACCTATAAAATAAGTAATAAATAACTGGTCATATGATCACTTAACCTCTTAGTGATACTGATTTTTTTCAAGTATTAGTATACGCTGGAAAATATAACCCACTGGCTTCTTGTAATATCAGTCATTATCATCTGCTTAGGTCAATATGGGTGATGTATATTTGAAAATACCGAATAATAGGTAAGTCGAATCAACCCTACTACATGCAACAAACAAACAGAACATAGTTATGTGGCACACTGCACCAAAAAAACAGTTGCAATACAAGTACAATTAGAGAAAACTAACTAACATATTATTATTATTATTATTATTATTATTATTTGCGCCTTCGGTTTCTAGTGGAACATAGGCTTTCAGTAGCACGTCTCCATTCCACTCTGTTCTCTACAATCTTTTGAACCTGGCTCCACGACAGCCCACAAGCTCTCATTTCTTCCTCGCACGATCTCCTCCGTGTCACTCTCACCTCGGACGACCAACCCGTCGCTTCCCATCGGGGTTACACTTGAGGGCCTGACGCGTGATGTCCCCAGTCGGCCTTTTCAGTGTACGCCCAATCCATCTCCACATCCTTCTGCATATTTTCTGAGCGACAGCTTCTTGGTTGGTTCGTTGCCAGAGTTTCTTGTTGAGTACTATTTCTGGCTATCCGAGCTTCAGTATCCAGCGTAGACAGTTGCTGATGAATATCTGTAGTCTGTTGGAAATCCCTTTCGTAACGCGCCGCCAAGTCTCTCAACCATCACACAGAAGCACTGACTTGACTGAATTAGTGCTGAAAATCCGGATCTTGTTCCACATGCTGAGTGCAGTGCAGAAGATCTCCACACTGGTTTCAGGCTAATGAACGCCTGTCTTGCTGTATTTCCGATCCTGATTTTGACGTCCTCATATGTGTCGCCTGTAGTTGAAACCATGCTGCCTAGGTAGGTAGGTAGGTAGGTAGGTAGGTAGGTAGGTAGGTAGGTAGGTAGGTAGGTAGGTACGTGAGAGAAACAACTAACTTTAAGTTTCTCCCGTTAACGGTCATTGGTGCTTGTTCTTGTTATTGGTTGGGCATCTTCATCACCTCTGTCTTCTCTACGTTCACTTGAAGTCCCGTCTTCGCTACCTTACCGCTTCTGTCAACTTATTAGTTTCCGCCTGTAGATCTTCAAGTTTGTGCGACATGAGACATAAATCATCATCGGCGAAATACGAGTCTTCTAGGGTCTCTTCATCGGTCCAGCGTACGCCCATCTTCTCGCTCCTCACGGTTTGGTGCATGATTCAGTTCAGTCCACCACAATCAGGAAGATCATAGGTGATGGTAGGTGGCAGCCTTGTCTTACTCCTGTCTTCACTTCAAAGGCATCGCTGAGCTTTCCATTGTGGACCACTTGGCATGCGGCGTCTTCATATAGTTGTTGAATGAGATTGATAAAGGTTTGTGGTATTCCGTAGTGTCGGAGCAGTTTCCAAATTACTTCTCGGTCGACGCTATCAAAGGCCTTTTCAAAATCGATGAAGTTGAGGTAGAGAGTTGACTGCCATTCTATGCTCTGTTCTATGATGATGCGTAGCGTAGTGTGGGAATTTGAACCGTACATGATTTGTACTTCCTGAATCCAGCCAACCAGCTTGTGGTGGTCGTAATTTTGAATCCAGAGCATCCTTTAGTCTCTCCAGGATGGTGCGGCTCAATGTTTTATTTGGGGTGGACAGGAACAGGAGCATGATTCCGCGCCAGTTCTTGCAAAGACTTAGGTTGCCCTTCTTTGAGAGTTTGACAGGATAGCCCTTCTTCCAATCGCCAGGTACCTTCCCTTCCTTCCAGACCCTCTGCAATAGTGATGTGAGTATGTCCGCTGTTGTTCCCGCATCTGCTCTCAGTGCCTCCCAATATTTTGCCTCATTTGATATGGCATAAAATGAACTATTGTTTAGCTTACACCCAGTTATTTGAAAACAGCAGCAACAATGAAGAGTATTTGTCGATCATCTAACTTTCCTTCTCTCGTCTAGGCTCTTATTATCGGTTCCCTTCAGCTGTAATCGACTGTTCAAAAGTTTACGATCGAGTCCAAGACTCAAGAGGAAGTTCGATGACCAACGAATACTTTCTTCAGCTACTCCTATTCTCAAATGGTTATGTAATCATGATAACGGCCCATCATACACCTTTTCAAAACAGCAGGAGGATCAGGTATTATAAAACGAGGCAAGTGATATCATTGAAAATCAGTTCGACTTTCGACTAAATTTATCACGTGGGTGTTAGAAAACAATACAGAAGCTATTACAATAAGTGATGGATGTATTAAGTTAGAATTAAAAGTTGTTTTTTAGCTTATAGATCAAGTAACAAATGTGCATATAAACCATAGCGACTAACACCCTTAGTTTTTGTTATCCGAAGGAACCACAGCAGATAAGTTCAAACATTTTCTGTACAACTGAGATCAACAACTCGCAACTGCGTTTACAACTCAGTAGGGAAGTTTGCAACTTAACGTTCCAGTTTTCACTATTTTGATATTCTTAAATGAATAGGAAAACGAGATTGTTTTCACTGACATTTTGTTATTTAGTGCTATTGGTACTATCACGCCATAAAATTTGATCATGGTTTAGGCATTTGTTAACCTCATAGCTTTGCCAATTTTAATGAAATTTCGGTTACACAATATGGCCGAAACATGCTACAGCATATGTGTTAGGCTTCTAAATCAACATTTGAAGTTATAATAAACCCTCTTTCGAGCGATTTCGATTGATATCATTAATTAACTATACTTGTCTTAGCACACAGTGATAGTATTATTTGATGTAAATAGTATGGCATCACTGTGTGCAATATTAAGCAAATTTATTTAGCATCATCATCATTATCAACATAGGACCTTTTTACTTAGCATGGAATTACATATAACCAGTGCCTAAATCCTAAATCCTATCCTCACATTCGTACCAAAAAATACAGAAAAACGTACTTGATCATATTATCTTTCGACATACCAGAGCTGGTGGATCACAAATGCGACTAGTCAAACAATATATTGTGAGACAATATTGGTAATGTACCTAACAAAAGTAACAAAATATAAGATAAAAGATGGGGCTTATCCAACAAGGATATATTTACGGCGAAACGAAAGCGTGGGGTGATTTCAATTAGTGTATTGACAACATTCACTTTTTAACATAAAGTGTACAAATGGTTAAAGTACTTGAATTCCTAACATGAAATTTTATGTACGAATACCTGCTAAAATACTAAAACCTACAACAGTCATGAAGATATAACTAAAATGTAAGCATGTTGTTGCAGGTGAGAAATTACTTTTAATACAGTCTGAAAATCACAGTAGTATTACTACTGAATCTTTCGCGATACATACACAAAACGCTGATATCATACTGGGGAAAAGTCACAGGTAAGTAGGTCAGGGGTCTACTAACGGTAAGTGGTTGCGAAAATGAGCAACACTCCAGAACATAGTTCAAATGACCTGAAGCTACCATTTAGTTGCCCATTGTTCAGTCAAACTAAGTGCAGTATGAACACTAGCCTTTCCAACTGTGACTAAATTGGAAAAGCAAATGGGTAAGTTTCAAGAGTTCTTCAATGAAACCTTTGACGGTGGTGGTCAAAAATTATCTATCAGAGTCAAACATTGTTTACCTTGGTTGCTGTAGGTCACCGAAAAGTTCAGATTACGAAGCATGGAAAATATCCACTGATTACCAAAGTGGTTACTCGAAAGTAACCAGCACCAATTTCTTTGGTTAGAGGTGCTGAATCAGTTTCACCGAGTAGGTTTGCACTTAGAACTCCAAAACGGAGATCAACCAACATATCCTATCCAGTCCAAAAGGTTCATCACAATCTGAGTAGCTCAGTGATAACCTCTCAAACTGGAATACGAAGGCACATACGTCTAAGGACTTGATAGACAGTTGCTACGTTGACATGATGGCCAGGTATCTAACGTAATGACCCAAGGAGCTATACTGGACGGAAAGGTTGTTTTTTATGTTCAGTTGAATAACGGTAGGAATAAAGGTCGTCACCATAGTACAAATAATTCATACAATGTCGGCAGTTCGGATGTGAAATCGTACTACTAGCTGTACATATTGTCAGTAATAAGCAGCATGTCACATATAACCAGCGTTCCAAGTTAATGCTGCCCTCTTTCATCCAGAAAGGCTGGGAAAGGTCGGTCCTGAAAACTCAACACTGTCATGTGGGATTTTCGGGCGACGGTGGTATGGGTTTCGTTAGGTCGGACTATGTCGACAGTTGGGAAATACTAATCATCATCAATATCACCATAGGACCAAGTATTACTGCTGGACGGTTCAAGTTGCCACACTTCATATCAGCACATCAAGCAAGAATACACTAAGATGAAAGATCAAGAAATAAGGAAGGTAGTAAACAGAAGTGGAAAGTCATCGAAAGAGGGCAAAGAAGAAGGACAATACATAAATCAAGTTTGACGCTTGAGATGAAGAGAATGTGTGTATACACCTTCACTACCAAGTACGATTCCAAAGATAGATCACCTACAGTCTCCAGCTGCTGGTTTCTTTTGTCACATGAACCACAGCTGGAAGGCCTACACTCCCCTGCACGGCCCAGACCAACAGTCAAAGACTGAATGAAATACCCGCCCCAAACGTTTCTCCATTACAGTCTCACTAATTATTGACGCATTCCACCCGATTTCCTTGATCACGCTAAATAACTGTCTACTATGACCTATCGCCGCCACCTTTTCCATATCTAGCCTTTGCTGCCCACCGCTGTCTACCATCATTGCGTACACTTCTTGTCAGCGTTCATCTGAGTTATTTCTGCTTCTCAATGTGCTCGGAGCCTGCAGGGGTGCGTTCGAGTATATCCACTAACTCAGAAGCCACTGATAACCACCGATCCTTTTTAACCACTCTTTAGAGTCCGCTGCCGTCTTCAACACAGTTTTGGACAGTATCGTTAGCCGTCACCCTATAAGTGTGGCTCACCGTCTACTACAGGTGATCACTGAGTGGATTTCGACTCGGATATGTATGTTTTTACTTTAACGAACACAAGGGACATCAGTGAAGCCTGTACTCAACTTAGTGAGGATTGTATCTGAGGTGGTAGCTAAGAACTTATTTAGAATCGTACCCAGATGAAGTCTAGCGCAACACAGTATGCTATGAAAGCAACAGAGAAGACAATTAGTGACCCACAACCAAAGGTCAGCAAAAATCAGTGAGTCGCCGTAACCTCATCCATACTGATTGATATGAGAAGACTCATTTCGGCTGACTATTACCATGATGAGAAGAGATAATTAAACATAGGCTGACTAAGGGTAATGACTATGACAATGATGGATGGGGAATGCAAGAGGTGGAGAGGGTATCAGCATCAGGTAATACTTTACAGTTATTAAGGAGTATCAATGATACTAATAAGATAATGGTCACTGAAACTATCTCCGCAAAGGATGGATGCCTAATTATCACAGATTAAGTGACTAGAACGTTGGATAGAACACTGAAGAACATTTGAACTGGTTTAAAGATACGCTACAGCTGTTTAGCATCCAACCTGGACCTGAATGAGACCCATATGTTGATCTTCTATCCGTTTAAGAGGTACCATCAAACAAAAAACTGACTTTGAGCAGCGGGACCTATTTTTTGACAGCTGTACATTACAATAATTAACGGCCGCTACTCGCAATTACATAGCCATACAAGGGGGTTCCGTAGAAACGTCGTCTAGAATCAAGACGTGTGTCATTCATTTAAAACCGCCCAGGACCAGGTATTACTGCTTACCGGTCTGAGTTGCCACACCTCTTATCAGTACATCAAGTAAAAAGGCACTGAGGCGCAAGGTGAAGATAAGAAAATTCAATCAGAAGAATTATAAAGAGAGAAATGAGGGATGAGAGAATAATGAGATTTAGAATAGCGATAAGATGAGGATAATGTATGTATACATCTGCACCACTGACGTCGGTTCTCAGCCATATCACCAAGAGTCTCCAACCACTGGTCCCTCTTGTCCCGCGGACCCCAACCACCTAATCTGCATCGCCCCACATGGCTCAAACCAACAGTCAAACACTTCATACATTGGTGCCATGTTTTAGTCTGGCCACCTCGGGCCTTTTTCCAGCCTGAACCTCCTTCGGTCAACATTGTGTGACGAGGCAATCGGCGACTAGGTATACGTAGTACGTGTCCCAACCATCTGAGTCGATAAAGGTTCACAACCTCGTCAACTGATTTACCTCTACTCTCTAAAACTCTATACCTGACTTCTGCGTTACTCACGTGGTGACACCACGGAATACGGTTTAAACTACGAAGGCAACGGTGGTCAAACACCTGAAGCCTTCTCACATCTTCCACCTTCAATGGCCATGTTTCACAGCCATACTGTAGAACAGACCGGACTGCTGTGCAGGTGCAATACACGCGACCTTTAATAGACAATTGGATATCACGGTGGCATAGGTTGGCAAAAGTCAATCGAGCCTTTTGTATCCCTGTAGAGATTTCATCGGCAACTGACCCATCAGGGCTGATCCTACTTCCCAGGTAAGTGAAGTGGTTGACGCACTCAACCACTGCACTCTATTACTAGCCATGGTACTGTTGAAGACTAATCCTGGAGCAGCAATTTGCATTTGGGTGGAGAGAACCGCATCTCAAACATTCTCAAGTTGCTACTCAAGGTGTTCAGAAGACTCTGCATCTTGTCAGCGTCTTCACCTAACAGGACTATGTCATCTGCATATTCTAGGTCTAACGAAAATTCTCCTGTGATTAGGTCAACGTCTGTGTAACCTGGTGACAAGAGGGAGACCTCCATAAGAATATTTATGATGAAATTGAATAAGAATGGAGAGAATGGGCATCCTTGATGGACACCACTCGATGAGCATAGCTCCCTGGACATCTCACCATAGGTTCTAACACGCCCACAAGTGTTCGAGCAGAAAGCCTTCTGTCACTTTTGACTGCTGTATTTATGTTCCGATTGTTCATCTTAGTGCCTTCTCGTTTGATGTTCTGACATGAGGTAGTGGGAATTGGACCGTCATGTAGTATCATCTGGTCTTATGTTGATCTCATCTGTGCATTTGTATCTGAAATTCGCAGGAAGCAGGAATGGATGGTTATTTGAGCCTAGGATCTTGGATACTATGTTCATCAGGCTGATCCCTCTGTGCTTATCACAAGACTTCTCACCTTTCTTGAAGACTGGGATAATCAGTGACTTAGACCAGTCAGAGGGGATCATATTCGATTCCCACTTACTAGCTAACACTTCCGTTAACCTGACTAGGAGTGCTGCACCACCCTTCTTGTATACCTCAGTAGTTAGTCCGCCTGGTCCTGCCGCCCTTCCTCATTTCAGGTTACCTACCACTTTCTCAACTTCTTCTGGTGTGGGGGACCCTATCTGAATGTTCCATTCAGGACCCAACTACACAACGGGCGAAGCGATGGTGGCTGGAGGCCAGTTAAACTGTTCCTCGAAGTGTTCTGCCCATCGTTCTAATCGTGTCGCCTGCGAGTGAATCGCAGATCCTTCCTTCTCCGCTATAGCCTCACTAACCACAGTTGACCTTTTCCCCCCAGTCTCCTTAATAAGTCTAAATAACTGTCTACTATTACCGATCGCTGCTGCCTTTTCCATCTCTTTAGCCTTCGCTGCCCACCACTGTTCGCGATCGTTGCGCAGACTTCATAAGTTTACTCTTAAGTTGCGCTCGCTCTTCATTGTACTCAGAGCCTGCGGGGAGGCGTTCACGTGCACCCATTAGTTCGGAAGAAGCTGCTAATATCCACTGGCTCTTTTTAGCCACCATTTTGGAGTCGGTTACAGTCTTCAGTGCTGCTTTTACAGTAGACTGAAGATGGCACCAAGCTTCTTCTGGATGGGTGACAGTCTTCTGTTCCGATAACTGCCTAGCCAACTTCTCACTGAACACGGCTTTGGTGTTCCCGTTGGCCAGCAGCACTCGTAGTGGTTCAGTAGTTGGAGTCTTTTAAAGCCTGAACCTTTCTAATAATCTTGGTTTTCAAGTTCCTTCTCCTATACACTTTTGCCTACAGGTATTGGTCTTTCTATCCAATTATTCAGATGCTTTTGCGAAGTGTGGTAACTTAGACCAATGCATTTCTGTGCGAGCTTCTGCATTGTTTTTGTCGTTTTATCTGTTATTTGCTCCAAGTGATGTATTCATCTCAGACTAAGAATCAGGTAACATGTCTTTGTCTCATCATACTTGGCACTTTCCCAATTTTATCCTACTTTTGCTAACATCGTTCATCGGAGTAGATGGTGGCTGGGCATACACAGTGTCCAAGATGTCTCAGCTGATCAAGGTTTCCAACCATATTAACTGACTTACCATCTTTAGCTGGTACTGTGCGACTAGCTTCATTGTTCAGCATAATTTCACCACATCTAAAGCATACTACGGTTTTTGCGGTAGAAAACCTGCAAATTCACATATACTTCCAACGACTATCTCATTTGTACAATAGCACGAATCGAACCACCGAATAATACCCTCGTCGTTAGATGTGTAGCTGGATATCTCATGGACGCCGTAATTGGCGTTAGTCAGCTAGTACCGAACAATTATTTTAAACCCAAGCTGAGATTTTGTCAACAAACAATCCATTGAGGCTCACACGAATCCTCTAGTTAGTAGTCAGTATAAATCCCCGGTGAACCTTACCTAGACTAAGAGTGTTCAAAAGACTTGTCGGTGTTTTCGTATAACAGGATTATGTTTGTGTGCTGTAAGTTACCTAGATACATCCCAGAAAGTTAGTCAGTCACTGAGAACTTGAAGAATTTTTGGGTTATATCTGTGAATATGAAGAGTGATACCGGACATTCTTGGCTGAAACCCACGTTTAGTACATCACCTTATTGAAACCTCTCTACTCAAACACTTGTGGGCGTGTTAGAACCTATGGTGAGATGTCCAGGGAGCTATGCTCATCGAGTGGTGTCCATCAAGGATGCCCATTCTCTCCATTCTTATTCAATTTCATCATAAATATTCTTATGGAGGTCTCCCTCTTGTCACCAGGTTACACAGACGTTGACCTAATCACAGGAGAATTTTCGTTAGACCTAGAATATGCAGATGACATAGTCCTGTTAGGTGAAGACGCTGACAAGATGCAGAGTCTTCTGAACACCTTGAGTAGCAACTTGAGAATGTTTGAGATGCGGTTCTCTCCACCCAAATGCAAATTGCTGCTCCAGGATTAGTCTTCAACAGTACCATGGCTAGTAATAGAGTGCAGTGGTTGAGTGCGTCAACCACTTCACTTACCTGGGAAGTAGGATCAGCCCTGATGGGTCAGTTGCCGATGAAATCTCTACAGGGATACAAAAGGCTCGATTGACTTTTGCCAACCTATGCCACCGTGATATCCAATTGTCTATTAAAGGTCGCGTGTATTGCACCTGCACAGCAGTCCGGTCTGTTCTACAGTATGGCTGTGAAACATGGCCATTGAAGGTGGAAGATGTGAGAAGGCTTCAGGTGTTTGACCACCGTTGCCTTCGTAGTTTAAACCGTATTCCGTGGTGTCACCACGTGAGTAACGCAGAAGTCAGGTATAGAGTTTTAGAGAGTAGAGGTAAATCAGTTGACGAGGTTGTGAACCTTTATCGACTCAGATGGTTGGGACACGTACTACGTATACCTAGTCGCCGATTGCCTCGTCACACAATGTTGACCGAAGGAGGTTCAGGCTGGAAAAAGGCCCGAGGTGGCCAGACTAAAACATGGCACCAATGTATGAAGTGTTTGACTGTTGGTTTGAGCCATGTGGGGCGATGCAGATTAGGTGGTTGGGGTCCGCGGGACAAGAGGAACCAGTGGTTGGAGACTCTTGGTGATATGGCTGAGAACCGACGTCAGTGGTGCAGATGTATACATACATTATCCTCATCTTATCGCTATTCTAAATCTCATTATTCTCTCATCCCTCATTTCTCTCTTTATAATTCTTCTGATTGAATTTTCTTATCTTCACCTTGCGCCTCAGTGCCTTTTTACTTGATGTACTGATAAGAGGTGTGGCAACTCAGACCGGTAAGCAGTAATACCTGGTCCTAGGTTGAATTTGATGATGATGCTGACAGAATATTTCTGCGCCGTTGTAATCAATTGCTAGACATTTCACTGTCTCCATCCATTGGTTCTCGTGGTCCCAAGCACCCCAAGGTAATCTGCACATGTTTCAACAGTTTATAGCAGCGGTCAAAGAATTCATGTAGTGGTGCCACGTCGTGTTCCCACCCTCCTCAGTGCTCATCCAGCCTAATCCTACTCTGGTTTAGATTCCATAGAAGGGTAGGCGGTGACCGGCCATGCTCTGCCAGTGTATAAGCTACTCTATTTGGTGCAGGTTCACGTTATCGACTGACCTGCCTATCTTGCCCAATACGCTTCGCCTAACCTCAAGATTGCTCCCACGGTTATCTAGTCATACAAGAGCAATGTTACGAAAATACCTGTGTTCGGAACTGTCATCTGCCATCTTCTACTCTGAGGATAGGTCAGCCACACAACGAAGAATATAGTGTAGCATACTCTTCGTCAGACTGATCAAATGAATATCCCTTTTTACATCAAAAACCATTTTTGAACATAAGGAAACGAGTAAGAGGAAAGTTAATGGATTTGTATTAGCCTGACGTAAACATATTGGACGGAAGATTTTTGAATGAACTAACATACCACTCATAAGCACGACCTAATCGACAATGTAACGCTTAGTTCAGTAAATTAAATAGTGGTGAATTCTAAAGTGAAATTCCACTTGTTAACTTACAACACCAGTAAAAACCTGGAAACAACTAAGCATAAATTCGCGAATGACTGTGAACGTGTTGTGTGTAGACGATCAACATGGAATATGACACCCAGTAATTAATGACCGACGTAAGCTCATATTCACAATGGGGTGAGTAGTTCCAAGATGACTAGATGCTCTCAGTTCTCCGTGAACAAAGAGCAGCGACGAAGCAAACGCGCCTAACCACAGCCTCACATAGATACTGTTCTTAACTGCACCAACCTACACTTTCAGAGGGAACCCCAAATGTACCATAAGACGAAGCACTTTTCATGTATTTTTTCATGTGTTTATTTCAGTCTTTATCAGGCAGGAATAACTGGGAAAACCATAGGTATCAGTAGGATACATCGCCTGAAAGTGAGATACAAGGGAGTTAGTTTTCTCAGCTGGTACAGACCAGTCATTTCAACTAGATCACATCTCCAGCCTTCTTAAATCAACATTACTTAAGGTAAGTAAATATAATTAATTGTCGTAAACAAACGAGTGTACATCAGCATGCTGACGGGAGCACGAAGAAACATAGCGAAAGTGCTGCAAATCCTTGATAGGAGTAGAGTTTTCTCGACACTTTAGTACTACTAGACGCTTAGAAAACAAAGAGAAATTTCCACCGGGTAAGCCAACGCTTATATTCAGCATATTCATCATAGAAACCTGACTTCATTTTTCTCTAAAATGGTTTCAACTGAAATAAATGTTACTTAAAACCACGAAAAACTACGACTTACACTCAAGTAGCAGCAAGATAATTACGAAAATTGTTTAGAGCGCTGAGTCACCTTGGGATTTACTATCAGTCGTCCAAACAAACAAGTGTTTAAACTTCAGAAACCGAATAAATTCACTGAGTAGAACATTTCTTGATGGAAACGTCATCAGCTCCGAAAGATGTAAGCGATTTTATGGATCGAAATTTTTTCTTGAGATTATCATGTCCCACCAAAATTCAACATCTGTTTTACGAACCTACACAAATTGATTGGTTTCTTCGCACTCGTTTCTAAGTCTTACGAATGGTTCCAGGTTATAGGCGAATTCCGATGCAGTAGATTCACTCACTTGCCTGCTGTAGGTCAGGTATATCTAACAGGTCGGTAAGTTTTTAGCGTCACACACTTCCCCAAAATCAATAGCTTATGGTTTGACGAGGTTCAAAATTGATGCTGACCTTGATGGTTTAACTAGACTCGCTAAGCTGAAGACACCCGGTAAAACACCCTCGCCATTTAGTACGCTGTCGTGTCACGTTGCACTGCTCGTAATTGACTCTCTAGCCAGGTAGTCGATATCTTGGCGTAACCTTGCGAATATACTATTCCATCCGACTGCGTCACCGTGTTCTTTCTCGGTCTCGTATTCGTGGGTATATGACAGGTTCGAATAGTTAGTGACTGGCCTCTGCGTCTGTCAAGTTCACACCAGGACAATTCCTAAATTGGTGAGCCCGACGTGATAACATATCCCGACCAATAACAAATGTTGAATTGGTGAGCCTGTTCCATTTTGTACTTGTTTATCGTTCTCATTTTGATAATCCTTATATATCTATATACAACCCTTCCTCACGTTCGATCATGCTCCCAAGCTTATCCGTATTAAGCCGACTACGAACACCGTCCGACTCCTGCCATACTGACCAGATAATGCAGAAACATGGTTTCTGTGTGCCGAGGCAGATTTCCGAGGACAGGGGTCGCAGATCCTCATTCTCGGTGTCTTGCTGTAATAAGTTCGCTACTGCAGGAATTAAACAGGCATGTTACAGGGCACTTGTCTAGTCCTGAGGTAAGTGATTCTTATGCACTTCTCAAAGCCACATTCCTGAAGAAAAGTGATCTCACAGATCGCCAGCGCCAAGACGAATTGCCTCGTAACATTGAGCTTGGCAGCCACTCAGCTACTGAAGTCATCGCACGCATGCGAGAAGTTGTCGGCACACGGGCACTGGACAATGGCCTTTTCTGAGAACTATTTCTGTGGAAACTACCAAAACCGTGTTGGTGACACTAAAGCTAGTCCCACTCGATGACCTGGCAGCCTCAGCAGATGAAATACTGTAGATGTCCCGCAGACCCATCTCCAACGTATATTCTGTCTGCGAAAAACCAGAGGGCCAGGATTCAGAGGTGAACGAGCTGTGCAACTCTGTTAAGCGGTTGGTACTACCTTGAAGTCCTAGATTACGTAGCACATCTTAATGCACAGCAGCAACTCGCGTGGTTGTCCGAAAACTAAACCTAGCAGGGTGGAAAACCCTAAATGGTCATGGTTTCATAATACTTACGGAGAAGAAGTCATAAAGTGCCGGAAACCATTCAGTTTTTACAAGGACACAAACTCTGGAAACTGTCACGCCGGCAAGTGTTCACGGCGACCGTAGCCGCTTGCTCTGTTACCGATGTAAAAACCAAGGTCCGCTACGTCGTCAACACCAGCGAAGAAGTCGGCGTTTTTCACACAGTGACCAAGGAGCGTTATCATGACCCATCCTCCAATCCTCAAGCAGCTAAAGGCAAGGCAATCGCGACATTTGGGAGACGGTATGCCTACCTCAACCTGGGCTTACGTAAACCCATTCGCTGGACTTTCCGCCTGACTGACGTTTCGATGCCTATCATTGGCATAGATTCGCTGAACCAATAAGATCTGCTCGTAGATGTATTTCATCGACATCTGCTAGATAAAAAAATAAAGTTATCTATTGGCGGCATCACCTACGTGGGTCCGAATTTAGCGATCATTCAAACTAATCACTCAGGCGACGCGTCATCAATATCCAATGTCCAATAATGATAGTGGGAGCGTAGAAAACTGGTAGTTTTTGATCTCTCGCGTCTAGTTCTTAGGGCTTGGTTCCAGTTGTTCGGTTTACTCCTGCAGTGGACGAGGAAATCCCCTCTGCTTTCTTGCTTTTAGCTTCGGTGAGGTGGATGTTTTGTGGGTTAGTAGGTTGTAATTTGTAGAGTGATTAGGGAGCTACGGGTTGCTGGGAAGTTTAGAGAACTGCCGTGACTCCTGTCTGTGTAGGTACCTGGAAGAGAATAGTAAGGTAGTGGTAAAGGAATGAAGAGAGAATAAAGAAGAGAGTGAAGTAGCACCATAGAGACTCTGGGAGCTGGGTTAAGGCCGTATCGCTAACCATCCTTGCCTTTAAACAGGAGTTTACGTAGATAGCCACTCCCCCTCCTGCTCTATGTTCCCTGTCCCTGCGGAAGAGTTCCATGCCAGCAACACGCATCTCTTCGTCGGAGATGTCCGATGAGAGCCAGGATTCGGTGATGAATATGATGTCGGAGTGCTGATGTTCACGCAGCGTCCTCATTTCTGCTACCTTCCCTCTTAGCCCCCTAACGTTGCTGTACATACATATTAGAGTGTGCCTGATGAGGAGGGAGGTCTGGTTGTGTATTTTCGCGGATGAGAGCTTATGTGGTTGGTTTAGCCTCGCCAGTCCTCATAGGACTGGCATTGTTCCGTTTTTTGTGTTTTGTTCTTAACTTGGGTGGGGGCTGTAGCAGTGGTGGCTTCTTTACTTGATGTATCTAACTCACTGGTCAGCGCCTGTGTGACGACCACTGACTCCAGAGGTCTTGGTGGTTGCCGTCTCTCCTCTTGCCTTGTGGGTCTAGGCTTACTTTCACATATACGTATTGAGCCACCCATGCGATCCTTCGCATTATACCATGCCTGCAGAACGTCTGTGAGGGAGGCATATGAGTCGAACTGGACGGCGAGTAGTCTGGGATTGGGTATGGTCTTCAGGTGCGCTGGCCTTGGCAGTCTACTGACGCTGTTGGCCGGTATACTGTTGAGACCAACTTTGGTTGAGAGCCATTGCCATTGTTGGACGTCGTGAAAGTACCGATCTTTGACCGAGCTGTCACTTGGCAATTCTGGAATCCCATGTACAACTATAGTGTTGTTTCTGTTGGGATTTCCAACCGCTGACTTTCTCTCCTCCTCTCTTATTGACCATGGCTTGTCAGGCCTGGCCCGAATTTTACAGGCATTAACAACGTCCGGTTGTCGCGAGAGGAGGAGTGTGTCTTCAGCCTCTTTGGCGGTATTTAGGGACACACGTAAAGGGGGTGGCTTATCTCGGGGTGCACGGCTTCCTCGAGAAAGGCGACATAAAGTTGCAGGGAGGGGAGGGAGTCCCAGCATCTGACAGTAGTCGGTCCACATTCGGCTGTCAAAGTTCCCTCTCGACCAACAATGAGTCTGTCGATACATCGACGTTGAACAAAATGATCGAGTTGGTCCTCCTGTGACCTGGGTTCGTTGTGGGTGGCACGCCCGACTTCCCAATGGGTTTGAGTAATTCCACTGGTTGTTTCTCAGTCACGGTGTGTGGGGTGTTCGGAATGGGTTTCGTAGAGGCTTCGGCGGTCGATGTCTTTGGCCATGCGCTTGACGTCCCCTGGGGCCGGGTAGGGGTATGGAGACTTGACCTAATATGGTCCCCACGCGAGGTGGCGTGCCCAGCTGGAGCTCTAGGTCTGTTTCCAGGTCTCTCTGTGTTATCCTTTGGTGTTAACCCTACTTTATTCGAGGATGCTGGTAGCTTTTGCGTGGCGGAGAGCATCTCCTTCAGGCTTTCTGTGCGGAGTGCGGGCATTTTCCTGCACTCTGGACAGATGTACCAGAACCACTTGCATGGTTGTCTCTTCATCAGCTTATAGTATTGTCGGGGGACTTTGGTGTCGCAGTGGCAATGCGCCCATCGTTGACATAGGTTGCATGCAAATGCCTCATCGACTACCGAAACAACTTTGGTGCAAACACTGCAGCCATCGGGTGTCGTAATACAGCCTTCCTTCCATGAATAAGGTGCTACGGATTGTGGCGAACTGCTTGTGGCTGCCTTGTTCTGAAGCCTTTTACGTCGTCTTCTATTTCAGGCATGGTATGATCCTTGCTCAAGATAGGACTAGTTTGTGACGGGCTAGTGCTACTCTGTGTCACCTGTCTGATGGCGACTGGAATTCTAGAAACATGGGTTGGCCACTTCCTTAGAAGTTCGGTGTTCTGCCCTACCTCTGTTTGTCTTCTAGTACAGACTAGTGTGTTGTTTAGGGTGTTATTGGCCGTTTTTGTGCACGACCGCGTTATCCGTGTCAAAGCTTCAGACCTAGCGTTTTGGGCAGACATGTCGCTATGATATAAACTTCTTGGGAAAACAAGTAGTTAACAACAATAAGAGGGTTGAAGACTGAATGCAGCAAAAGGACAGAATAGAAAAGGGAAGATAATTTATGTTGGCTCACCTTCAGACACTTGTCACTTGATCCTCTGCTCTTGACCAACGAGTTTAACCGTAAGCTCCAGATGCGTATGTATAACCAGGAAAGATATTTCCTGGGGAATGACCTCCGAGGAGAACCGAGAGCTAAGGCAGTTTGGCAGTTGAAACGCCCAAGAACCACTGACAGGAGGTAGACCGGTTGGTTCAAAGGAATAATAATGCCAATTTTCAACTGTTGAGGAGTGAGCTGACGAATACGCAGGGGTGAGGTGCGTGGACGGACAGAAGTGCTGCAAACGTTCGATCTTTTTAGATTGAGTATTGTAAGTGGGAGTTTTTCAATGTGGAAAAATCCAAAAGCTGAGAGACGAGAGAAAACACCTCACTACTCAAGGAGCGCGCGTATTTGAGAGCATGGAAAACTAATTGCCATTGGTCCGCAGTTTTTTCAGATGTTTATTTTTTGCACCACAATATCTAATTCTGATGACGTAAATCTATATTGCTGTGAATGGTAACACCTGAATTCACTTGGATTGCATGTTTGTGTGGAAACTTACGGATTCTCGGCGTCGTCAGAGTCGGCTTTTCTGGTGCCTGAGGCTATAAGCATGAGAATTTATGGTAAAATAGACGCTTATATAGCGTAGCGGGGCATCGCGAAGAGGAATCAAACAAGTCGACTGTTTGTAACAGAAATTTAGAATTCCGCGCGATCCTGGTGTCACTAACGATGAAGAAAAGTATGACTGAAAACGATCCAAACTTTAACACTCTATATAAGCTGAAAAGTGGTATTTTCTTGTTCATTTCGTAAGTTATGGACGCTTCTGATATTTCTGATCGAATTTATTGATCTTCACTCCGTACCATTCGGGTCCCGTAAGATCTTGCACATTTTCCAACATATATAGATGTGATGGTGCCT